GCCACTCTGCACCTGTGCTCAGACATTCCAGCATCTCTGCCTCTCTGATCTTTACATGTAGCTGTAGTCTCTGGCATTCTTTCAGTACTTTCTCTTTCTTGTGAACAATCTGTTTGGACTGTTCATACTTGCTCCCTTGATTTCATTTACCGCCCTTCTCTCTTAAACCCACTAGAATAAGGATTCTTTTCCAACATAGCAGTAAAACTGCTTCTCTCCACTTTACCAAAAAGCTCCACTCAATTCCCGGTCCTCTTTGCATCCCAGCAGCAGATTCTGCCAGAGCTCATTGTTCCCTCCTCCTCCTCCAAGACCATCTTTGCTTTCCCTCCAGCACATCACTTTCTCCTGGGGCCACTTTCTCTCAGGCATGTTTGGCCTGTCTTCACATCTCTGATTTCTAAAAGCTTAGTTTCCCTAGCTCAGTCCTTTGAAATTTTCTCTTCTCTGCTTATACTTACTCCTTTGGTGATATTTTCTAATTTCAGGAATGTAAACACTACATGCTAAAGATTCTAAAATTCATCCATGTAGCCTGGATTTCTCTCTTGAATTTAAGGCTCATATATCTAGTCACCTAATGATATTGCCACTTAAATGTCAAATAGGTATCTGCAGTGCACTGTATTATTGTTCCAAAGTTTTTGCCTTTTCCAGTCCTAGATATTTAACCCTGGTCCGCTGATGTCAGAGTTGGCCATGTGACTTGCTGTGATCAAGACATAGGAGCAGAAGTGACTTGTGCTAGTCCTGAGAAGCCATCAGGGCTATCATGTGGCTCCCCTGCACTCTGTCTTCCCTCTGTTCTGACACCAGAACCATCCCTGCTCCCTCGCCTTGGGTCATGGGATGAGGTCCGCATAGCCAGAGCCAACATGCAACAGACACACGTGTCAGTAAAAAATAAACCTTTGTTTTAAGGCATGAAAATTTTTGGAGTTGCTCACTGCAACAGACTTAGTCTAAAGAGACTGAGCTAGCATCTCAAGTTAGCCTGGTCTTCCCTGCTCCCAAGCCTGCTCTTCCAGAGTTCTCCATTTTAGTAATCATGGGCTTCAACCTTCCCATTTTCAGACTAAGAACCTCTGAGTTGTTCTTAATTATACTTGGTATCTCATACTCCACATTTAGACACTGGGGATACTTTGATGAACTAAAAACCGACAAAAATGATAAAAATTCCTGTTAAGATTACATTCAATGAGGATGAAACAGACAATAATAAAGAACCACAGTGGGGCCTGGGTGGCTCAGTGGGTTAAAGCCTCTGCCTTCGGCTCAGGTCATGGTCCTGGGGTCCTAGGATCGAGCCCCGCATCGGGCTCTCTGCTCAGCAGGGAGCCTGCTTCCTCCTCTCTCTCTGCCTGCCTCTCTGCCTGCTTGTGATCTCTGTCTGTCAAATAAATAGGAGAAATCTTAAAAAAAATCTAAAAAAAAAGAACCACAGTAAGTTAATGATGTAATAATTAAACACTTATATATAAAATAATATTACCATGTCACATTAAATATTTAAACATAAGTATCTAGAAGAGAATAGGTGCAATAAAAACAAGGGGAAGGGAGAGCTAGGGGTGAGAATGAGGGGGTAGGTTGACAAGGTGGTCAGAATTGACTCCTCTGGGGAAGAAACATTTAAGCAAAGACCTGAAGGTGAGAGGAGAAATCTGCATGGCTAGCAATAGAAAGTGTATTCTAGGCAGAGGGACAACCAGTGTAGAAACCCAGATGTGGGCACAGCCTGGCTGGCATAAGCAACAAGGAGTCTGGTGTGGCTGGAGCAGAGTAAGCCATGAAAGTGGCGGTCGCTGATGTCAGAACGGAAGGAGGTGGGTAGGTGGTATACAATGTCAAGACTTATAGCTAAGTCCTTTGGCTTTTACTTTCAGTAAGATACAGAACCACTGGAAGATGTTGAACAGAGGAGAGATGTGATCTGATTTACATTTTTAAAGGATCACTCTGGCTGCTGTGTTAAGACTACATGGTAAAGGGAGTGGGAAGAAGCTGAAGGAGGAAGACTAGTTAGGTTACTGAATAATTCACGTGAGAGGTGATGGTAGCTCAGTCAAGGTTGACAGTGGTGATGAGATCAGATTCTGGATGTACTTTAAATTTCCTGATGTATTGGATATGAAGAGTTAAGGGGGCGCATGAAATATGATCTCAAAATTTCTGTCCTCAGTAGATGGCAGAACAGAATTTTCCCTCAAGTCAGATGGTAGAAGGTTTTGGGAGGGGAAAAAGAGCTTTCCCCATAGCCTAGTTTCAGACATATCTGGTAGATACATGTGTGGGGTGGTTGAACTGGCAGTTTGTTCAGGGAAGAGGTCTATCCTAGAGATTTAAATTTGGGAGTCATTGGCATATATGTGCTCAAAGCCACAAACTATGCGAGATTACCAAGAGAGTGAGTTTAGCTGAAGAAAAGAATCTTACCAAATATGTGTATCTTTCTGTATGTCAGGGCGAGAGATAAGTGGGGAAGGGAGGGGAGGAGGGAGAAGAGGAAATGGCTTTACAAACCCTCACTCAGTCTGTGTTCGACTGGAGCACTAAAGCTTCTGAATTTAAATTAAAGTAAAACATCTGATCCCTTAAATTGTTTTACATACCATCACTACCTATTGGAAATAACTGTTAACATTTGTCGAGAGTTTTGTGCCAGGCTGCCAGGCTTCAGTTCTCAAAATAATATGTGCAGTAAGCATTGTTATTATCCTCATTTTATAGATGAAGAAACAGCCTTGACACAGAAAGATAAATACTTTAGCTCAAATCTTCACAGATGGTAAGCTGTAGAGTTGTCTGACTCCAGAGCACGCCTGAAGCAGGGCTGCTACTGGCCCATATGGTGCCCTGGTGAAATCAGAAAACATTCCATTTTGCAAGTAAAATGTAGTTTGTGTCACAAGACCCTGTGTGTGCACACAACTGCCCAGGCTTTTGCTTGATCCCACACCACTACTTCAGACAAGTTTTAAATAGTTTGTGTTGCTTCTCCCACTTCCATGATAGACAACAATATCAAATTCAAAGTTGGTGAATGGGAAGCAAGTCTTTGAAAGTGCCAGGCAAGTGAGGGACCAATCACAGGTATCACTAGGATTGTAGTCAGGACAGGTACAACTTGTGCAAATGTGCACCAATATGTAGGTGAATGAATGGTCTCTGGAGTGTGTGCATGTGGTCACACATACCAAATGTGGGTTCTTGTAGGAGTTAGCTCTTCACTGCTCCAGAACTCTTAGGCCTGCCTGTGACTTTATGTAAGGTAATGTTTATCTACAATGTAAATTAGCATATTCTTATTTATAGTGTTCTTCTACAGTGTGTGATCTGAACAGTCCCATGCATGCAGCAACCTTATTCCTAATGATTCTTTTATTCATCAGACAACTGTTGAGGATCTGCCTACATGCAAAGCGCTGTATGAGGCACTACAGTATGTTCAATGACACCCATTCTTTACCAAGGAACATGATTTCTAGTTAGAAATATATGCATGTAAATAGTATAGAATACAAAGCAGTAAGTTTTACAAGAGAAGTACTGAAAAACTACTCTGTGAATTCACAAGAGGAAGTACTTATTTCAGTTTGGTTAATTTAAAAAAAATGTCATGAAGTAGAGAGCAGTTGAGGAGTGGTTTGGAAGGTGGATTTGGATATGCAGAGATGGAAACAAAGATATTTCAGAAGGAACAGCGTGGATTTAAAAAGTGACATGGTGTCTGTAGTACAGTGCACAGAAATAGTGGATAGTTAGTAAGGCAAAGTAACATACTGATTCTGAACCCTGCCTTGGATTCCCAACGGGGTACAAAGCTATTACAGTGGTCTCCCACACCACTGGCAAACTGCAAGATGAATGAAAAATGTCTTGAACACCTATGTACAACTACTTTAAAAATATATAAATGCTTTCCATTAATACAATAGAAATCATTCAAAAACAGGACTGAACTGGCAGTAAGACTTTGTTGTTAGGTATTTTCTAAGTCAACAAATAACAAGGATACTATAATGAGCTAGTTTAAAAAATTTTTCAGTGTTAAAGAGTTCTGTGTTCAAAAAGGCTGGTGGGTTCTGGAGTTAGACAAAACTTTTTCTTAGTTTGTTTCTTCATCTCTGTAATGAGGATTGTAAAACCAACCTTGTTTGGTTGAGAAAATACATGGCACACTTTAGGTGTTCAGCAAATACCAAGTATTATAAAATGAAAAGCTACGGTCAAATCACAGTCAACCTCCAATACCAAGTTAACTGAGACTTTTTCTTTTGGGCGCGATAGTTACTTAAGGGTTTTTGAATGACAACAGAGTCAAGGAGGGAAACCGGTTACTGTAGTGGTTGAGGCGTGAAGCACGAGCAACGAATTCGTGGAATATTACAGACTATAAACTTAACGACTCCGCATTTACCTGTAATGTGAGATAAAGGCCACTATTTTGAACTAGCTAATGCTTTCAACAACAAAGAAAAGAGATATGAAGTTCAGTTTTGGATATTTTGAGCTTAGGGACCTAAAACTGCGTGGCTGAAAATGTACACACGAAACATCAAACATAATCTATGTTGAAAAGAATGCTCTAGAAATTGTGCTCATTCTCTATTAAAACCTATGAATTAAAAAAAAGAAAAAACAACTTTTTTTTTTAACAACACAATACACTCCTGGGAGATACTAACTTGCAGCTTGAGAAAAGACCTCCAGCATAACCACCAGCTTCCACTTGGCCGGACACTAGGGCGCGCCGGTGATGTCACCGCGACCGTGCACGCTCCTGCGTCTCAAAGGACGTGGTGCGTCATTACCAGGGAGACGCAGGGGGAGGAGCGACTTCCGTAAGCCCCAGCCAGCTACTCCAGGTCGCGCCCACGTGCGTACTCGCGCTTCCCCTTCCTGGCCTCTGGCTGTGAGGCGGGTCGCGTCGTCGCCCTTACTCTACTGTCAGACTGATCTGCGCATGCGCCCAAATCCCTGCCCTTCCCAGCGGCAGGCGGAGGGCGACACCTCCGGGTAAAAGTGAGGCGTTGCAGGAGGCGGACTAAGCCCAGGGCGAGCGGCGCGAGAGCAGTCAAGGTTCCTGTCCACCTTGAGGGGGCTAGGATGGCTGAGGAGTCGATGCGCGGTAGAGTCGAATCCGAGGCTGGTTTTGAGGCAGTGAAGCCTGAAGAATCTAAGGTGTCTTCACCGAAGACTGCCGATGTTGTCGCAACGTCATCGAAGGCGGAGGACTACAATAGCAAGTGCGTGTTCTGCCGGATCGCGGCGAAGCAGGAACCCGGCACCGAGCTCCTGTACTGCGAGGTGGGCTGCGTGCGGACCGGGCGTGGGACGGGGCAGGGACGCAGGCCTCGCGCCGTGGCGGACCGTGGTGGGGTCGTGTCAGGCCCCTGGGAGGGAGACCTCGCAGGTGTGGACCGGAGTGGGGCAGGCGGGGTGTCCTGGTGTTAATGACGGATTTGCTTCTCGCGACTGGGGTCTGTCTCCAGCATTATTGTTGCTGTGCCGAGGGGGTGGGGAGCGGAGGGACAATGTAGCGATAAAGCCAGACACTTGGGCTTCTGTCTGCAGGTTCGAGGTATTCGGTAGAAAATAGCATTTGCCGCCTGTTGTTTTTGGAGGGATTCCTCCGCCCACCCCCGCATCCCCACCCCCTTCGCTTCTCGACACTGCTTTTCAATTCTGCACACTCTAATTCTGCTACTGAGGAGAACTGGTAGAAAGGAGATGATGGTAATAGGGAAAAGCTTCGTTGAACTGACAGAAGTTAGGCGGCGGGCGGGGGTGGAGCCGAGGTCAAACTATTTCTTAATGAGCCCCAGATTTCCACTGAAGGGTGAAGTTCGCACAGGCGTTGTCAGTTGGGATGTATGCACTTTTTCAGAGCACTGAGATTTTGCTCAGGTACTTGAAAACAGGTATCTGGAAATCATTTTCATCTGCTGGTTCTACTTGCCTTTAAAGAAACAGCCTTTGGAGAGGATCAGATCCAAAGATTCTGGTTTTTTTTTGGTTGTTGTTGTTAGTAATCATGAATTCATTTGTTAAAAGTGAATTGAATCTGTTCTAACCACATAGTGTTGGAGACAAAGGTAAGAATTTATGGCTGGAGAGACGACTGAAGTGATAGACCTTGAAATCTGTGCTTGAATAGGGGAAGGAGTGAAGACAGGAAGCGGTTGATAGGGAGAGGGGTGAGTACATCAGTTGTCTGTAGAGCAGGCGTCTGATGAACTGAGCCAGAGTCAAGATTTCACCACATAAAAAATTATGCACACTGGGGCGCCTGGGTGGCTCAGTTAAAGGTTAAAGCCTCTGCCTTTGGCTCAGGTCATGATCCCAGCGTCCTGGGATCGAGCCCCCATTGGGCTCTCTGCTCGGCGGGGAGCCTGCTTCTTCCTCTCTCTCTCTTTCTGTGCCTGCCTCTCTGCCTACTTGTGATCTCTCTCTGTCAAATAAAAAAAAAAAAAATTATGCACACTGCAGTACCAATGTTGAGGAAACCTTGTAAATATTAGCTACTAATAATGTAAAAAGTTTTGTCTAAAAATAGTCATGGAGGGGGGCACCTGGGTGGCCCAGTCCTTAAGTGTTTGCCTCTTGCTCCCATCTTGATCCCAGGTTTCTGGGATTGTGTCTTGCTTTGGGCTTCTTGGTCAGCTGGGAGTCTCCTTCCTCCCTCCCCTTCCCCTGGGCTCATGATCCATCTTTCTTTCTTTCTTTCTCTCTTTCAAATAAATAAATTATCTTAGGAAAAAAGTAAATTAATTTTTAAAAATAAAAAAAAAAGAATGGTCACCTGTAGGGGTTGGGATGGTCCAGAGTTCTGTCGTGGTTTTTCCAGGCCAAAGGTCAGGATTTTTTCTCTATGAAGAACATTCTCAGAGTGAACTATGTGAAAAAGCCTGGAACATTTTTTATAGGGGAAATTAGACACATTAAATACTTTTAACTAACTTATACCCTACATAGGTGGCATAGAATGAATATATACAGTAGTCCATATAATACAGAACATAAGCAAGATGCACATGCTTGTACAACATGCCTCAAAAAGTTTCAGATCTTCTTAAAATTGAATCTAAGATGATTTCGTATATAAGAGCTCAAAGATTTATCTTTTCAAAAAGAGAATCTAATCTTTAATTTGTGTATTTTGCATTATATATATAGTCTATTCTTATATTCATTCATATGTGTTTATTGTAAATATTTAAAAACTGTTGGGTTTATATAAAGTAGGGTAGACTTATAATTAAGTCCAGAGGAGAAAATGTGATTTGGAATAATTGGAGTTACCAGCATCATGTGCGTTTAATCCGGGAAGTCTTTCTGGCAAAAGCTAGAGAAGACTCCTCACTCCATAAGCATCTGTATAGTGTATTTGTGCTGTATACTGCAGAGTTGAAACTAAGCTAATACTAGGCCATGCATTCTCAGAGAGGGATAAAAGTTGGTTTTGGGGTGACAATATCTTACTCTTTGTGTGTGAGGCAAAAGTAAACATAGTGGACATAAAGAGTATGTCTGTGGCATTAAAATATCATGAGAGTGGAACCGGGAAAAAGAGTCTTAAGAATGTCTTCCGAGCGGTGACGGTGAAAACATGGTTGAGAAATACCAGGATCGATGTTTATTTTCACCTTGCTTGAGGCCACACAGAGGAAATACTAGTTTAACTTTAATGTCCTCACTCTTCTTTAACCAAAGTTGCCCTCCACTTCAGATGGGGTGGTACTGAAATGTTCTTTCAAATGTTACTTACTTGCTTTAGATATCAGTGGGGTTAGTTGCAGAAAGAAAAACTCGCTATTTAAAGCAGAAATGGATTTAATATAGGGAGTTATTTGCTAAAAAAGTCATTGCAAGGGTTGAAGGAAAAGCCTTCATTCTTGTACCTCCTCCATGAGGTACATGGGTGGCTCAGTCTGTTAAGCATCTGCCTTTGGCTCAGGTTATGATCCCAGGGTCCTGGAATGAAGTACCGAACTGGGCTCCCTGCTCAGTGGGGAGCCTGCTTCTCTCTCTTCCTCTCCCTCTGCCTGCCACTCCACCCGTTTGTGCTCACCCTCTCCGTCAAATAAATAAAAATATATTTTTAATTTAATTTTATTATTTTTTAGAGATAGAGAGGGAGAGCACACACACATGCACATGCCTGTGGGACTTGATCCCAGGACTCTGGGATCATGACCTGAGCTGAAAGCAGATGCTCAACTACTGAACCACCCAGGTGTCCTTAAATAAAAATCTAAAAAAAAATATAAATAAATAAAATAAATGATATCCAGAACAGCACTTGCATGGTGAGGACCCGTTTCCTCTGCCACAGCCAGGAAGTTAGGAGTCAGGTGACTGCCAGTGGAACTTAAACTTCAGGAAGATGTCTCTGTAGATGTGACTCAGAGTTGAGGAAGCAGTGTGACCGCCACTGTTGAGGAATTTGAGGTTGGATTCTGCTTTGTTGTTCAGGCTGTTTCACCTATTGTAGGATGTTTCCCATTTCTGACCTCTGGGCGCTAAATGCTTGCGGCACCTACATATTTCTACTTTGACAAATAACAGGTTCAGAGCTACACTGTACCTCCTGGGTCTGCACTGGTAGGTCATGGCACCAGAAAAGTGGATGTCTCATGTCTGTCTCTTGACTAGCAGTTGAACAGACATTGGAATGGGGGCAGGGGAGAAAGAAAAAACAATCTCGGTATCCTTAGAGCTGACCATGTTTGCCTGGTGGAACTAGCGGAAGCTGCAGAAAGATGGCTTTTTCTCAGGTTACCTTGTCAAAGCACTAAAGTCTGAAGTACATCTAGTTTGCAATTTCTAAATTCCATCTGGGGTTTTAGCTTTTTAAATTTCTGCAGTACTAAAGACACAGAAGTATTTGGAATGGGGGTTGAGTGCCCATCTACCCTTTTTACCATAGTTTGTCATATTTAATAGATGCTAAGCCAAGATGCTTGGATTCAGTGCTGATAATGAAGATGGACTAGCTGTTGTCTAATCCATGCATTCTCAAAAGGGGTAAAAATTGATGTTCTTGGCTTGGGCAGGAGCAGGGGCAAAAAAAAGTTTATTATTTATATATATAAAATGTATGTATAGCACTTAGGATAGAAATACATGTACAATTTGGCTGTGGTATTAAAATATCCAGGGGGAGGGCAGCCATTAGGGGAAAAAAATCTAAAAAGTTTTCTTAGGGGGATGGTAATGAAAAAAGACTGAGAAACACTGTTAAAATCAAACAGTGGCCATGATTCCAATTCTAACAATGTGTTTTGGGGACACCTGGGTCGCTCAGTGGGTTAAGCCTCTGCCTTGGGCTCAGGTCATGATCTCAGGATCCTGGGATCGAGCCCTGCATAGGGCTCCCTCTCTCTCCGCCTGCTGCTCTGCCTACTTGTGATCTCTTTCTCTCTGTCAAATAAATAAATAAAATCTTAAAAAAAAAAAAAGAATGTGTTTTGGAGGACAGACTGAAAGATCTTGGAAAGTAGTAAAAATTATAATGACACCATTTTTTTTTTAAGGAGCAGAGAAGGAAGCAATGGTAGCTTTATTTTTCTATTTAAGCATCTTTTATTTATTAAGCAATCTTTCAAGTTTACTATATGTTATTCACTTGCAGTTCATGGATAACTATGGCATGTTCACACTTGAGAAGCTTGCTTCTGATCTGCATTGAAAGCATAAATAAAAAGTTTTCATTTAGTGAAAAGTTTTCATTTAGTTGTCATTAGGGATGGGTAGTCAAAATTCTATGTTTTAAAGTCATTTGTAATATCTTTTCTTTAGGGGTGCCTGGGTGGTTTACTTGGTTAAGCATCTGCCTTCAGCTCAAGTCATGGTCCCTGGATCCTGAGAGCTGCCCTGCTTGGGCTCCTTGCTCTGAGGAGAAATCTGCTTCTCCTCTCCTTCTGCCCGTCCCCCCCCCAACTCATGTGCTCGCTCTCTCATGCGCTCTAGTTCTGTCTCTCTCAAATAAATATTTTAAAAAAGAAATGTCTTTTCTTTATGTAGTTATGTTATAAAGGTGACAGTTAGGTTTATTCCGTTTGTTTTCAATTCATAGGGATTATTTTGAAGTCCAAAAAAGTATTAAATATTCATGTTTTTAATGTCAGAATTGTACATTTGGAAAAGTCTAGTATCCGTTCTCTTATCATCTTTACCCTGTTCCTCTTCCCTCACAAGAAACTAAAAAATATATTTTTAGTTTATCCTTCCATTGTGAGAATTTGTATGTGTATGTTTATATTTGTACTCCCTTTTCTTATATAAAAGATGGCCTTACCACACTCTCCTGCTCCTTAATTTTTTTTAACTTCAAAGTACATTTCAGAAATGATTTTTAAGTATATAAAGATCTTCATTCCTATATTTTATAGCTACATAGTACTTCATTGTATGTATTTGCTATAATTTATTCAGCTAGTCTCCTAGTTGAATTTTGGACCTTTGGGTTGTTTTCATTTTTTTGCTATTACAAATCATGCTGCATGTATCAAGTAAATCATGTACATGTATCATTTCATATTTTTTGTCATTGTATCATTGGAATAGGAGAAAGTCGGTCTTAAAATGAAGAGTCTAATTAATGGCTAGTTCAGTAGTAGCAACAGGAAAGAGAGTAACATCAGAGGGCCAATTTCAATGTTTCAGAAAGCTTAATGAAAATCTAATTCAATCATTGATTGCATTGGCTGACTAAAATGCATAAGTTTTTCTTCACCTGTTTTGCCTCCACCCAACCTTCCTTCTGGCAGCTACCAGTTTGTTCTTAGTATAATACCCTCTCGTTCCATCTGTGTTGTTACCAATGGCAAGATCTCATCCTTTTTTATGACTGAGTAATATTTCATTGTATATGTACATCGTATCTCCTTTATTCATTCATCTATTGATGGATTCCTAGGTTGCTTTCATGTCTTGGCTATTATAAATAATGCTTCAATAAACATAGGAGTGCATACATCTTTTGGAATTAGTATTTCCATTTTCTTTGGGTAAATAAATACACAGTAGTGGAACCTAGGGATCATATTGTATTTCTGTTTTTAATTTTTGAGGAATCTCCATACTGTTTTCCATAGTGTCTGCACCAGTTTGCATTCCCATCAGCAGTGCCCAGGGGTTCCCTTTTCTCCACATACATGCCAACACATATTTCCTGTCCTTTTAATACTAACATTGGACTGGTGTGAAGTTTCATCTCATTGTGGTTTTCATTTGGATTTCTCTGATGATGAGTGGTGTTGAGCATCTTTTCATGTGTGGTTTAGCCATTGAAAAATTTTTTATATAGGATATTGAATAAGGATATTTAGGGAATATTGATTTTTCTTTTGGAAAAGCTTGAAACTCAAGTGTCAGTAGGTTGAAAGACTCCCTTTTTCATTTCTTTTTTCCTCTCATAACTATGTGGAGTATGTAAATCAGAAAACTAATATAATGGATTGGACACTTAGTGCACTATACAGGAGTTTGTTTTAGCATTTCAAGGGCTTTTTATTTATTTATTTATTATTATTATTATTATTTTTAAAGATTTTATTTATTTAACAGAGGGAGAGATCACAAATAGAGAAGCAGGCAGAGAGAGAGGAGGAAGCAGGCTCCCCGCTGAGTGGAGAGCCCGATGCGGGCTCGATCCCAGGACCCTGAGATCATGACCCGAGCTGAAGGCAGAGGCTTAACCCACTGAGCCACCCAGGCGCCTCTCAAGGGCTTTTTAATGCTATAAACAGAACAAAAAAGTATTTGTGTATAAGTGCTGTAAAAAATGTATAGAAAGGCAACCTCTGGATATATGGATGCTAGATTATTTTCCTGCTTTAATTGTGGAACGTGCCACTTTGGAAAAAATTAAATGTAAAAAAACAATTTATCAAATTTGCTATGTTTCAGATGGGATTGGGAGGGAGATAAACCATAAGTGACTCTTAATCTCACAAAACAAACTGAGGGTTGCTGGGGGGAGGGGGGTTGGTGGGGGTGGGGTTATGGACATTGGGGAGGGTATGTGCTATGGTGAGTGCTGTGAAGTGTGTAAACCTGGCGATTCACAGACCTGTACCCCTGGGGGAAAAAAAATATGTTTATAAAAAATTAAAAAAAAAGAAAGAAAGAAAGAAAAAAAATTTTGCTATGTTTCCGTAGTCAAACCTTTAAAAGTACATATTAAGAAAAACCCTTAGGTAGAGATGGAGAAATATATAAAGAAAGTTTAAAAAACCTTGGGATTGTTGGTAATGAAGTTTTTTTGTTTTGTTTTGCTTTGTTTTAAAGATTTACTTATATGAGGGTGCGCCTGGGTGGCTCAGTGGGTTAAAGCCTCTGCCTTCGGCTCAGGTCATGATCTCGGGGTCCTGGGATCGAGCCCCACATCGGGCTCTCTGCTCAGCGGGGAGCATGCTTCCCCCTCTCTCTCTGCCTACTTGTGATCTCTCTTTCTCTCTGTCAAATAAATAAAATCTTTAAAAAAAAAAGATTTATTTGTATGAGAGAGAAAGCATGAGTGGGAGGGACAGAGGAAGAGGTAGAGAGAATCTCAAGCAGACTTCCCCCTCCTTGCCCCGGGAATGAAATGGACATGGGGCTCGATCTCAGAACCCTGAGATCACGATACTGAGATTACAATCTGAGCAAAACGAGGAGTGGGACACTTAACCCACTGCGCCACCCAGGCACCCCTTTGGTAATGAAGTCTTATTGAAGGTCATTGATAATTGTTTTCCTGAAATTAGCTTTATATAAGTCTTCAACATTGCTTTATATAAGGCTTCAACATTGCTCATTGCTAACTAATGAGCATCTCCTGAAGAATGCTAAAGCATGTCTTTATAAACTTAATGCCCAGCTGGGATTAGTTGTATAACATAAGTACCATTTCCCTATCAAACTGAGATTTATGGTGTGTAAGACATGCCAGAAATTCTTTTTAAAATTAGGAAAATAGGAAATTCTTTTTAAATATTCTTTTTAAAATTCTTTTTAAAAAATTCACTGACAAATGATGTTTTTTCCTTCAGAATGAAGATCTAGTCTGCTTCAAAGATATCAGACCAGCAGCACCTCATCATTATCTTGTGGTGCCAAAGAAGCATCTTGGAAACTGTAGAGAGCTAAAGAAAGATCATATAGAACTGGGTAAGATGAGGACAGTATTTTTCATGGTTATATCATCCTGAATTGGCATGAGTGATAGTAGTGACAGTGACAATAAAAAGAAACAACCTAGCCAGGTGTTAACGAAAGAGGAGCATTATGACTTTGTGAAACTTCTATTATGAAAAATTTTAAATATGTACAAAAATTCAGAAAATAGTTTTATCTCCATGTGGTCATCACCCAAGTACCACTTTTATTAACTTGTGGCCAGTCTTTTTCATCTATTAACCTTCTCCCACAGTGGATTTAAAGTGAATTCTAAACATCATGTTATTTAATCTTTAAAATCTCTAAAAGTTAATGCCTCTTTATGTTTTAAAATGATGGCTTTCCTTGACTCTGAAAATGGAAGGTGCTATCAAAAATGAGACCATATTGGTACCTGTCTTGTAAGTTGCTTATGTAGAGGTACTAACACCAAAGTTTAGTGATGAGATTTAAGCTTCTGATAAGAAGAGAGAAGATTTTAGCTTCTGAAAAGAAGAGTTTGAGTCATATCTCTTAGGATTATCCTATACTTTCCTACTTATGATTTCTGTGACTTACCAGTTATCATTTCCCAAGACATTTCTTAGTTCACTTCATATCTGCTTTCATAGCCTTTGTCTCCAGGGCCTGGGATTAGTTTGGTTAATAATTTAAATAGCTGGGGTGTCTGAGTGGCTCAATGGTTTAAGCCTCTGCATTCAGCTCAGATCATGGTCTCAGGGTCCTGGGATCGAGCCCCGCATCAGGCTCTCTGCTCAGTGAGGAGCCTGCCTCCCCCTCTCTCTCTCTGCCTGCCTCTCTGCCTACTTGTGATCTCTGTCTGTCAAATAAATTAAAAAAAAAATAATTTAAGTAGCTGACAAGATAGATAGATTGGGCCAGATTTTTTGGAGGTGAATAAGAAATTCTTTGATGGAAAACTTTGATGTGTAGTTCATTTAGTATTTAGACTATTGAATTACCAGTTTTTCAAGTGTTTCTTCTCAATATTGCAAAATTTCTTAGTCATCTGTACTTCTATGAGTACATTTCATATTTATTCCAGCAGATAAAGGCCAATATTTTTGCAATATTTAGTATCAAGCAGCAGCTACCATGCCTTAAGTATTTCCTTTTTAATTTTTTTAAGGAGGGAGAAATATGTTTGTGCTTGGTTTTCTTTTTCTAGCATTCTACTTTACTGAAAGTTTTTATAACTGTTGCAAATAAAATGTTAACCAATTTTGAAGCAGCATGGTGGGTATTTGGGATTTCATTATACTGTTCTTTCCGATCTTGTTTGTATTTTAATATTTCTGTAATAAGCTTAAAGTTTCTTGCAATTAGTATTTATATACAATCTGTGAAGTTTGCAAAATAATAAGAATGTGGAAGAGCTCAATAACACCATCAAGCATTGTGATTATAATTGATATTTTTAGAACTCCACCCAACTATAAAATCCACATTTTGTTAAGAGCACATGTTCACCAAGATAGCCTATATTCTAGGCAATAAAGTAAGTCTAAATACATTTCAAATTATTGAAACCTTGTAACATATGTTCTCTGATGACAATGGAAATAAAGTAGAAAAATAATAAAACCTGTAAATGTACTAAATATTTTTAAATTAACACACTTTTTAATAATTTCCAAATAAATTTCCAAATGAATATAGACAACAATATAGAATTGAGAGCAAAAATACAACATATCAAGATTTGTGTAATGTAGCCAAAGCAATACCTATGGGGAAATTTATAGCTGTGTATGTTTATGTTAGAAGAGGATGTTTAAAACCAATGACCTACATTTCTACTTTAGGATGCTAGAAATAGGCAAGTGAATCAGACCAAAATAAGTATAAAGAAAGAAATAATAGAGTAGATAATGGTGAGATACAAAGGAGACAGTTTTGCTTCATGTATTTTGAATCTGATTTTAAGTGAATCCATAATTACGATTGTCATGTCTTCTCAGTGAATTGATCCTTTTTTTTTTATCATTGTAAAATATCTCTCTTTACCTCTAGAAATACTTTTCGAGTCTATTTTGTAGGACATGAATTTAACTACTATAACTTTCTTGTTACTTGCTGTCCACATCGGGTATCTTTTTCTATACTTTCAACCAAAGTGAATATTAATATTTAAAGACTTGAAGATATCAATATAATTGTATCTTACTTATTTGTTATTATTTTTTAAATGTAGTGCGAAAATCTCTGGTGTTTAATTGAATTGTTTAATTCATAATCCTTTAACGTAACTATTGATGCAGTTTGATTTAGGTGTTTTATCTTGCCATTTGTTTTCTGTTTGTCCCATTTTTTGTTGTTATTGCTCTGTTTCTTTCCTGCCTTCTTGTGGTTGATCAAATATATTTTTTGTTATTCTACTTTAATTTATTTCTTGCCTTTTTGTGTATGCCTCTTCAAATTTTTTAAATGGTTGCTCTAGAGATATTAAAATACTAGTGTAATTATCATAGCCTCATTAGGATTCACATTGTATCAATTCATGAAAAATGTGATAAACTTTGGTATACTTTGTGTTATTGTTGTCATATATATTATATCTACATACTTTATAATATCTTGGTATTGTTAAAATTATTGCATTAAGCAGTCCTATGTCTTTTTTAAAATTTTTATTTATTTTTTTTAAAGATTTCATTTATTTATTTGACAAGAGAGAAAGAGAGACAGTGAGTGAGGGAATACAAGCAGGGGTAGTGGGAGAAGGAGAATCAGGCTTCCTGCTGAGCAAGGAGCCCTATGCGGGGCTCCATACCAGGACCCTAGGATCACAACATGAGCTGAAGCCAGATGCTTAATGACTGAGCCACCCAGGCGCCCCAGTCATATGTCTTTTAAAGAAATTAAGAGGGCGCCTGGGTGGCTCAGTGGGTTAAGCCTCTGCCTTCAGCTCAGGTCTTGATCTCAGGGTCCTGGGATTGAGTCCCACATCAGGCTCTCTGCTCAGCAGGGCGCCTGCTTCTCCCCCATCTCTCTCTGCCTGCCTCTCTGCCTACTTGTGATCCCTCTATGTAAAATAAATAAATAAAATCTTAAAAAAAATTAAGAGAAAATATTTCTTCCATGTCTGGGATCTTGGGAATATTTTAAAAGAAAACAAGATACAGTCTTGCTTGAAGTAATGAGTTGTGTTTTTTTTTTTTTTTTTAAGACCATATGGTACTGACTTTGTCATGGAAGTCTGTCATCTTCATTGCTCAAGCCTGATTTAGAGACCTAAACATTTGCAACAATTTTATGAACTTCTTTTATAACAACCATCGTCTATAGATTCTCTCATTTCTTCCCCCTTACAAATACTTGGTTACACCATTTGGAAACAAAAGAGATCTCAAGTTTGGCATTGTGCTTAGGAGATTGCAGGTTACCAAATTTTTTTCTCATCTGGAAACGCATTCCTATTCGAAGGCCATAAAGCACCAAGATAATAAAGATGCTAAGGCAGATAGAGTTCAGAAGCCACAACAAATATATGAACATTTAGCTAGTCAGAGGTAGGCTGACATAAAGGACTATCATATCCTTAATTTGGGCTGAAAGACAAATTCAGTTTTCCTGTCTGCCTTTTTGATTTAAACATGTTTTTGTTTCTTACTTGGTCTCCTTATGATTAGAATTAGACCTCCATAGGATCAGACGTCCTAAGTAGTCACTTGTTAGTACTCTTCAGCAGCTGTTCAAAGTCAGCCTGCACACCGTACTTTGTGATAGCTTCAATCTTCATGTCAGTGTTGATGAGCAAACTTCTCAGTAACTTAGAACTATTAAACAGGTCTTTAAATGTTTACCCACTGAACATGACTTTTGATTAGAAAACTTAAAATTAATTACAATTTAGTAATGTCTTCTATGGTGTAATGTTTCTTTCATGTTTTTTAGTTGAGAGCATGGTGACTGTTGGAAAAACTATTCTTGAAAGGAATAATTTCACTGACTTCAAAAATGCGAGGTATGTATACTTCCACATAGAAACCAATATATGTAGTTGGTTTTCTGAAATGTTGTTCCCTCCTGGAAAATGGGGGGGTGGCTTAAGTACAGTTTTCTTGAAAGTGAGCATACATTGTTCATTGGTAGTATAAATTTAATAAATAAAACTTCTTCCTCTCATGTCTCAGCATCTAATAATCACCACTTGGAGTTTGGGCAGACAAGTCTATTTAAGCAGTGGGTAGGTAACATAGTTACAAGTCCACCTTTCTTTGTTGGGTATGTCTATTTGTATAAAAATTGTATGTAAATTGAATTTCTTTCTTTAGAAAATATTTTATTTTATGTGATTGAAAAATATTATACTTCTAGTGTGAAATTAACTTGAATTAGTTGCCTGCTGAGCTGATCTCTGGCATTCACCAAAATTTGAGCAAAAAGCATATAATGTTCAATGTGGCAGTTATTTTACTTAATCTAAGTAGTGTGTTTTCTTTTTTAAAAGACTTTGGACTTTGTCCTGTGTGACCAGTGGTTAGATTTCGGTTAGATTTACTTCTAACATCTGACCTGGAATTTATTTTTATTTTTATTTTTATTTTTATTTTTTGACCTGGAATTTAAAGAGACCTGAGCTCTAACGCTTTCCATGCTACTTGTTGTGTACTGGGCTCATACTGGCTATGATACTTGAGGCATTTATGCTCTCCAAGATAATACCTGTTCTGCCTACATACAGATTCAAATAAGATTGTGTGCGTGAAAATCCTCTGAAAACTATGAAGCACTATTCAAGTGTAAGGGACAGATGGTATTTGAGACCCTTTGGCCAAAAGCAATATATTCCCTTCCCAGTCAGAGGAGTGTTTAGTAGAAGAATGAACATTGGACCAAGAGTCTCAGTCCTTGCTCTATTACTGCCTGACTTTGTGACCTTGAGAAGTCTCCTACTTTTTGGATCTTGGCTTTCCCATCTTTGAAATGAAAGGGTTGAATGAACCTTGAATTGCTTCTAGCTTTTAGGTTACTTGATTCTACATTACCTGACTCCTGTTTCCCAGAAGGAAAACTCAGCCTCTTTTTCCTATAGTGGGGGAAGCTTTTCAATATGTGTTGTGTTTCTGACTCTCCATTATCAGTCCTGTATTGCTGCAATAGACCACATCTCCTATGCCCTCTTACACTCCCTTTCACTGTAGTCTTTTTTTTTTTTTTAATTGAGACTCACTTACAGTTTGAGGGGGCAAATATTTCCAGGCTTTTGGCTTGAATTATTGTTACATGTGTGCTTTGCTCCGCTCAGAATTTCTTTTTTTTTTTTTTAAACATTTTATTTATTTATTTGACAGACAGAGATCACAAGTAGGCAGAGAGGCAGGCAGCGAGAGAGAGAGGAGGAAGCAGGCTCTCCACGGAGCAGAGAGCCCGATGCGGGGCTCGATCCCAGGACCCTGGGATCATGACCTGAGCCGAAGGCAGAGGCTTTAACCCACTGAGCCACCCAGGCGCCCCTCCACTCAGAATTTCTAAATGGATTTATAAAATTGTAAACTGATTTTTAAGATATAGAATCATATTTTAAAAATTCCTTAGTAGAAATTTGTTAGTAGTCAAAGGAATTCTCTTATAAATGTTTTTATAAAGCAGATGATTATGAATAACTATCATTTACTTATTTTCAGTATTAAGCACGAAATATGAGTGATGATAATGTTTTTTTAAGAATGATATAAATAATCTCACTACTGGAAGGTGGGTTGATGAGGAAATGACTACTTTATTAAAGGAGAAGGCACACCATCTACTGGCTATGTCTTGGAATAAAGAAACCCTTCTACTTGAGTGTCATGTAATCTTTTTTTTAAAGAAAAAGGTGGAATTTATGCCAAACATAGTACACAGCAAACAACTTTATGCCTCAGCTATACAGTCTAAAAGTTAAAGATCTCAGAAGTGCCCTGTAACTTTTTTAAAAAGATTCATTGCAGAGCCAAATCTTAGGAGAATTAAAGGTTAAAATTAATAAGGACTGAGATGATAAAACATAATGCCAACATAGAATTATTAAAGGATTTACTGAGACGTTATATGCTCTTAAGCCCTTCCTTGATGAAGAGTTTGTTACTGTGAACTTCAGCACAGAAAGACAAGGAAGTGTGTAAATACTGAGAAGGATATAAAGCAGTAAAAGTGATGATTGAGTGGCAATCTGTCTACCCTAGGTAACCTATTTTGAATATCTTTAATATTTATGTGTTTTAGCAGGAAAAAATAGCTTTAAACTATTGTAGAACTGACTAGTGAACTCTCTTACCTTTCTGTTTTAGAATGGGTTTCCACATGCCGCCGTTTTGTTCCATCTCCCACTTGCACCTTCATGTGCTGGCACCTGTTGATCAACTTGGCTTCTTATCAAAATTGGTTTATAGAGTGAATTCCTATTGGTTTATCACAGTAAGTGTTATTATTTAGTAGCAGTATATAAAAATATTTACAATAGTTGTCCTTTTGGTGTAGTTCTTCTTTTCTTGGCAACAGTAGGCACTTAACAGCTTTCGTAGGTTTGATCCTCTCCTTTAATGTCCTGCTTGCACCTACCCAAAGTAGTATTTTTAATATAAGGGATTTTCGAAGTTATCAGATCTGTAGGAAGAGAAGTTACAGTAAAGTCTTTCCATTGCAAGCAGAGGATATGATATAGAAGAGCCGGGGCATTAGCAGTTCAGAACCCAGAGTCCAATCTGCATTGAAATTGTGGCTCCATCAGTTACTTGAGGACCCATTTGCAAGTTACTTAAATGTTTTCAGACCCAAGTTCTTTATCTATTACCTGCCTATAAAGAATACTGCCCAGCTATAGGGTGGATAAGAGGATTGATAAAATAATTTTTATTAAAGCAGTTAAAACTGTACCTTGCAAATAGTAAGTACTAGTAAATATCACCTGTTGCCTCTGTTATCATCACCAACATTATTGTAGAAATTGAATTTCTGTAATTTTCTAGTTTAGAAAAGGGCTTCCCTGGTAGCATCAACTGTCAGATCTGAGGTTGAAGCCATTGAACCTAAAAAATTGCAGAATTCTGCTTTGCTAGGGCAAAAGTAGAATCGAATTCAAGCTGATTACAGGCCTGTTCCCTGACAGTGAAGCCTTAGTTATTAAGTGACTGTCCTTCCAGAGCCACTTGACTAATAATTTACCAGTAACTATGTATCCGTGATGGTAAGGAGACCGTAGTTGCTACATTTAAGTAATCACTGAATTACAAATTGAATAATTGCTGTTAGTGCATATTATTATTATTATAGTCATGGTACCCAAGAAATTAAAAAGCATGATTTCTAGAAACTTCATGTTTCAAACTTTTATCCCTCTTTTCAACTTGTCCAGATGATTTTATTTAATTTAAAAATAATTTAAGATATTTATGTGTGTGTGTGTGTGTGTGTGTGTGTGTGTGTGTGTCCGAAATAAAAATTAATAGACTATTCGATAGGGCAGTTGGTGTAGTTTCTTTAAAAATTCAGTGTGATTAAAAAAGGGATTTTTTTCCTTATTTGTATTTCTAAGTTTCTATGTGCTCCATGCTTTTATAATAAAGTAACTAAAAATACATTTTTTGTAATGTTTTTAACTATATTTCCTTGCATGACTTTTTAGCTAGAAAAAAACGAATGAACAAAGTTGTAAGATCTGTTATTGGTTCATTCTGTGGATCTGAAATCTCCTTAGATTTGTCAGCATATATTATGAGACTTTGAAAAAAATCAAGATAAAGACATTAAGATTTATTTTAAAATCTCTTTTATAATGTTTCAGATATATAAGATGTTTGAGAAAAGTATTTGAAATAATGATAACTAACAGACTTTGGTTTACTTTTTAATTTTTTAAATATATTTTATTTTTTTTAGAGCACTTTTAGGCTCACATCCAGATTGACTGGAAATGTACAGAGAGTTCCCATATACTCTCTGTCCCCCAAATACTCACAGTCTCCCACTATAGACATCCTACACCACAGTGATATATTTGTTATAATCCATGAAATTATAGTTACACATCATTTTTACCCAAAGTTCATGATTTACACTAGGGTTTATTCTTGGTGTTCTGTATTTTATGGGTTTGGACAAATGTGTAGTAACATGTATCCAACATTATGGTATAATAAAATTCTCTGTACTTTACCTGTTCATTTCTCCTTCTCCCTTAATTGCTGGTAACCCCGATCTCTTTAGTGCCTTCATAATTTTGCCTTTTCCAGAATGACATATGGTTGGAACAATACAGTATTTAGCCTTTTCAGATAGGCTACTTTCACTTAATAGTATGTATGTAAGATTCCTCCACATCTAGTTTACTTTGTAAAATGTTAGTATTATATTTATTTTCCTTTTCTTATTGAAGCTTTTTAACAAAGAGGATAAAAATCTGTGTGTGTATATACAATGTGGAATGCCTTTACTGTAGTTTATAAAACTACTGAGAAATTTTTTATAAGATATATTTGGGAACAGTGTATGTAATATCCAGCTCTTCTGCTGTGACTTTTTATAATATGGGTGCCAGTAGAATTATTTCATGTAGGTTATAATAACCAGAATTTAAAAATATGTTGTTTTCTTCAAAATTATAGGCTGACTGTTTGATTGAAAAACTAAGAATATGAAAATGTCAACAGTGGAAGATTTTCCTAATCTTGGCTCAACATAAACTAATATTTTCATTCTTTTGAAGTCTAATTACAATTGTAAGGTTCATTGGGTTTTATGAGAGGCTATTACTGGCTAGCCTTAAATCTTTTCTGAATGTCTGTTTCCTGAGATATGTGATACAATTCCATGGATACTTTGTCATTGACGTCTTTATTTTAATGGTTACTTGTTTAAGGTATAAAATACTATAGATAAAATCCCATTAAAACAAATCCTGTTAATTAGGAAGGGCTATTTTTTCAAAAAGTTTAAATATTTTCATTTCTCAGTAGTCTATTATAATAGTGATTTATTTATGAAGAATAAACTGGTATGGAAAGTACTTTATTGGAGCCTTTATTACTATGAAGGGGAGACAGAAATTAACTATTTCTTTACATACAAAATTTCAAAATGAAAAGTGCCATACTACATAGTGACTTATGTTCTTGTTGATAGAAAGAATCGTCTTGTGTCACTTTTTAATCAGATTTCAGATGCTGGTTTTCACTTCTTGAAGCCTAACATTTTTGTGATAAATTGTTCCTGAAAGCTATAAAATAAACATAAATTCTAATGGTGGATTTATAAGAACAATTTGGCTATCCAAGAGAATTCACTGTAATGGCATTTTACCTGCAAGAACATAAATGGGGAAGAAACATAAAACGGTTATCATAATATATTTACAAACTCGTGGAAATTATTGTTTTATGATTTATTGTACCAAAGGAAAAGTAGAATTAAAAAGTTTTAGTCCTGGCTTTTATCATGAAGAAATCCTGATTTGAAAGTAGAAACAGATAAGCTTGGATGAGAAAATTTAATAGCTCAATGTTAGCATTACTGATACATCATTTTGTGAGACATATTTCTTTAAGGATTGTGCTGATCTACATTAATAGTGAATGTGAATAAAGAGTAAGGTACTGGGGCACCTGGGTGGCTCAGTCGTTAAGTGTCTGCCTTCAGCTCAGGTCAGGATCCCAGGGTGCTGGGATCGAGCCCCACATCAGGCTCCCTGCTGGGCAAAAGCCTGCTTCTCCCTCTCCCACTCCCCCTGCTTGCATTCCCTCTCTCTGTGTGTCTCTCTCTGTCAAATAAATAAAATATTTAAGAAAAAAAAAAAGTAAGATACTGAAAGCTGATCCTACATTGTGTCAATGTATGGTGCCAATGCAATGTAACACCATGTGCATGAATATAGAGGAACACAAGGATTGAAGTATTGATGTTAGAAGTAGGCTGGGATGATTAGGTTTTGTTATTTTTGGCACGATATTAAACATAGTTTTAAGTAATGAAATACTTATTACAATGTTTAATTAAACATCTGGAGTATTTAGTTAAAACATCTGAAATAAATATTCATCCATTTATCCATTTAACAAACATTTGCTGAATATTTTACATGCAATGATCAGGAAATATAGGTGAGAAAGGCTAGTCTGCCTTCTCATGCTAATACAAGGGTCAGACAAAACCAGTGATTACAGCTTAGTGTGTTAGCTGCTGTAATGTTCACAGAAGAGACTGTTCACAAAAGGACACAATTTTGAGAGCAGGTGGCAGTGGGACTGAGTATTTAAGACTCAGTGTTTGTCAGGTAGACAGTGGAAGTTTAGGCCAAGAGACCCACATGTACTGTTCCTGAGTTCTGCTTTCATTATTATTTACTTTACAATTGAAATGAATGTTCACTGGGTGCCTGGGTGGCTCAGTGGGTTAAGCGTTTGCCTTCAGCTCAGGTCATGATCTCGGGGTCCTGGGATCGAGCCCCCCATTGGGCTCTCTGCTCAGTAGGGAGCCTGCTTCCTCCTCTCTCTCTGCCTGCCTCTCTGCCTACTTGTGATCTCCCTCTCTCTCTCTCTGTTAAATAAATAAATAAAGTCTTTAAAAAAAAAAAAAAGAAAGAAATGAATATTCACATTCAGTTTTAGTCACTGGAAGTGGAAGTAGGGGTTTGGAGCTCTCAAAATTAGATTTCCAGGCTCTTCAGCACTGCTTTGTCAAGTAGCTCACTGACCCACCTACACAGATTAGCACTTCCAAGTTTGTAGAAATCAGCTCAGATATGACCAGCTTTGGAAAAGGAATTTTCCATATGTACAACATGTTGTACTATGTGAACTTGAAATGATATAACTGATACTATTATGATAATAACATGGAGGTATGTAAGGAATTCTCAAATGTTTTATGGACTTACTCAAATATATGATTAGCCAATTGATTTAATTTATATAGGTTTATACTCTGTCATAGTTAAGTTTTCCTTCTTTGTTGGAAAACCCTTGATCCTCACGTTCTTAGAAGCTTTTCTCATTTACTTGTAAAGATTAATAAATTACAATTAAAATTCACTCAGCTTTTTCAGTAGTTAAAGAGTATTTGGTAACTTAGTAGCTACCTAAAACATTAGCTCAACACAAAACCAGTTTATAACTTATCTTTAAAATGTTTAAAGTAGGGGTGCCTGGGTGGCTCAGTGGGTTAAAGCCTCTGCCTTCGGCTCAGGTCATGATCCCAGGGTCCTGGGATCGAGCCCCACATCGGGCTCTCTGCTCAGCAGGGAGCCTGCTTCCTTCTCTCTCTGCCTACTTGTAATCTCTGTCTGTCAAATAAATAAAATCTTTAAAAAAAATAAAATGTTTAAAGTACTATCTAGAGCATTATTTTTGCATGTTATGATATTATTTGTAACTGCAGAATTGTAAAGTGATTGGTAAGTTGTGTGCTTATTTAGCTGAAAGAAAGCTAAATAAATATGGAAAAAATACTGTGTCAAGTTTTGACTCTCTGGACTTTGTGTATGTGTGCGTGTGAGAGAGAGATAGACTTTATTTTTTAGAGCAGTTCTGGTTCACAGAAAAAATGAACAGACAGTACAGAGATTTCCCCTATAGCCTCTCTGATTATTAACATTCCCCAGAAGAGTGGTACATTTGTTGCAGTTGATAAACCTCCACCTCCACTGAAACATCATAATTACCCAAAGTCTAGAGTTTATCTTAGGGCTTACTCTTGGTGTGGCACATTCTATGAGTTTGGGCAAATATATAATGACATGTATCTATCACTATAGTATCGTGCAGAGTATTTTCACTGCCCTAAAATCCCTCTGTGCTCTGTCTTTTCATCCCTAGTCCACCAATCCCTGGCACGCAGTGATCTTTTTACTGTCTGTGTAGTTTTGCCTTTCCCAGAATATCATAAAATTGGAATCACACAGTATGTAGCTTTTTCAGATGGGTTTCTTTCATTTAGTGATATTCATTTAAGTTTTCTCTGTCTTTTCATGGTGTGATAGCTCATCTCTTTTTAGTGCTAAATAATATTCTGTTGTCTATATATATATTACAGTTTATCCATTCACCTACTGAAAGATACCTTGATTGCTTCCATGTTTTGCCAACTATGAATAAAGCTGCTTTAAACACCCATTTGCAAGTTTTTGTGTGGACATAAATTTTCAGTGCCTTCAGTAATTCCAACATGCAGCCAAGTTTAAGAATCTGTGCCCTGTAGGATTGAGTAAAACTCCTCCAATGGCCCAGTTAAAGTAGTTTTCAGGAAGATGTCTTTTATGGGACTTGAGACCATTTATTTTATATGTAATAATTTTTCCTCTCATGAGAAGCAAGTAAGATCAAGAGATGGTGATTACTGGGAATTGCGCTTAAATAAGGATCAGTGGGTCCCTTCCTAGAAGGTAAGTTGCACACTTACTTTGGGACTGTTAATACTTACATATTGCCAAGAGCCTTCCTTTGTTTAGAAATCATGTTTGCTATTTACATTTTAGGAAGGAAAGAAGAAAGGGAGAGAAAGAAAGTGGGAAGCAGGGAAGGAGGAAGGACAAAGACCTGGCTCAAATGTGGCAAATGCACTGTGAACTTACATCACTTCTGATTCACAAGTTCTGCCCAAGAGAAGTAATAAATGGGGTTCCATTAAAAAATGTGCAAAGCCATGTAAGCTACAAAGCTGAAGCCTGGAACAGAGTGGATGATATACAGGTCTTCCTTGGCCTCGTATTTGGAGTGGAATAAAAGTAGAGTGAAACATTTTTTGGTATCTTATGATCTCAATCTCATTGCCATCAAAAGAATTCAATTAAGTCCCCACCCAAGGAGAGAAGTCATCCCTAATTTTGGTAGGCCCTAGGTTAGGCTCAGTTTCTATTTCAGTCAGTTGCTAAGATATGGTAAGAGTTGTTCTTTAGCCTAGCTCAATCAGGCTGCCATCTTATATCTGTCTGGAAATGTATGGCTTTTGATTATTTGAATTGTGGCAGCATTAGAGCTTAAGGATGGCCAGGACACAAGGCTGAATTTCCAGCCCATTTTCCTTCACATTTTTTCTATGCACAGAACCTACTTCACAGGTAGCAAATTAGTAGGTCTAGTTTACAACTAAGATTTCAGGTTTGTTTGGGAGAATTTTTTGATCAGAGGACAAGCTCTACTTTTCTCTACTTCTGCAGATCTTGAGTCGTATTTAAATCAACTGCAGCTGCTTAATTTTGAACTGGTACCTTGTCCCAATTTATTCAAGTTTGTTTCCCGAGAGCACCCAGTGTTTGTCCTCTCTTCTTTTCTTCCTCGATTATCTTCATTTAGATTGAGGATACTGGAGACCCTTCTGGCATTTCATGAAATTAGAACTCAAGTCAAGAATACTTCACCATAGGGGCACCTGGGTGGCTCAGTGAGTTAAAGCCTCTGCCTTTGGCTCAGATCATGATCCCAGGGTCCTGGGATCGAGCCCCGCATAGAGCTCTCTGCTCAGCAGGGACCCTGCTTCCTCCTCTATCTCTGCCTGCCTCTCTGCCTACTTGTGATCTCTGTCAAATAAATAAATAAATAAAATCTTTAAAAAAAAATACTTCACCATAGTCCCTGTAGTTGTTATATAACTCATTCCAACAAAATTTTATTCTCTAAACTGTCCAAAAACCTCTTGTTTTTTACTTATTGGAAAAATTTTCTAGTCTTAGGACACTTGGGTGGCTCAGTTGGTTAAGCATCTGCCTTCGGCTTAGGTCATGATCCCAGGATCCTGGGACTGAGTCCACACTGGTTTCCTTGCTCAGTGGGGAGCCTGCTTCTCCTTCTGCCTGCTGCTCCCCCTGCTTGTGTGCTCTCTCTCTGACAAAATCTTTAAAAAAAAATCTTCTAGTCTTAATACATATGCAGAGAAGTTTCCTACCCCTCACTGGTGCACAAATGTCTATGGTTCTCTGTGATACCCGACCCATTGACAAATGTTAGATGCTCAGCCTGAGACAGAGGTACAGACAGTTTTAACATTACACATGACTTCTACTGTTGGGACCTCTTAACTCTCTTCTCATTTCCTTTCTTCACTGACTCTGCCCTAATAGTCTCAACAGTATAGGGGCCTCTTATAACCAGAACTCAAGATTTTCCTTATTTTGGATCCTAACTATCTAGGAATGATTCTAGTTTTCAGTCATCATCAGGCTAGACCAGAGACTCAAAAGCTTGCAAAATAGTAATCTCACAGAAGGAGCAAAGTTTCTACGAAGTCTGCCGTGGTAGCTGAAGCATGGATGCAGCTTTGGATCAGTTCCCAAAAGACGGACTATGAACTTTCTTGCTCCTTCCAGTAAATTAAAAAAACAAAAACAATTGCCAGTCTCTAGATCTTAGTTTAAACATCAAGGCCATACCTTTTGCGGTCCTTAAGGACTTTAGTAAGCTCAAGAACATGATGTGTAAGTAAGCTCTGGTGTGACTTCTTCAAATTTTAATTGATCTCACAAGTAGTTCCACACTAATCCTAATGGCCCAGCCTGTGCAGGGTTAATTTCTACTTCCCTGGATCATGTATCCAATGGTTTGAGATTCTTGGTGTATGTGATCTGCTCATTTCTAGAGTGGAAATTAGTAGGGATTTAGTCATGAACCTTAGCTTTAAGGAAATAAAGGAAGTTCATGGGAAAAATCAGTGAACCTTGAATTTGTCCGGGTTCTCCTAGGCTGTGTATTCTTATTTGCTGTCTCTGCACAGCATCCTATTAATCCAGGCATGAAAATCAGCATCTCTATGATAGCCCCTAAAAAATTGCCCGATTAAAATTTAATGTTTGGTAATTCTAACAAACTTTGGGGATGGGGCGTAT